CCACCAAAAAGGCACTGATGCTATACAAATAGGATGTACAGCACTTTACAAAAAATAAAACCCAAAACAAAAAACAAACCATAAATCCTAGTGTTGGGTCATAAGTCCAAGTAGTCATTAAACAGATAGATTGTTAAAGAGGGTAAATTTGTATTCTGTATTGAGAATTTTAGAGGCTTCTTGTCCTTATCTGGAATTCTCTGAGCCTGAAGGTAATTACTTGAGGGTAGAGGGCTGTCTGGGAGAGGCAGGCCTGAAGCCTCTAGTGGAGTCCTGGCAAACCTTTTGGAGTGTTCGATGATAGACACAACCCACTACAGCATACATGCTTTAGGTTTGCCACCATAACTCTATAGAGATTGGTTTCTAGGATTTTAGGGGCAGAGTGACAGCAGTCTTGTAACCTAAGTAAATGTGGAGCTTCAAGGCATGTGTTCCTCTGTTGTGTTAAGTAAATCTTTAGTTAGATGAGGCTATTAAAAAAAAAACAAAAAACATGTTTATTTAACTTGTGGCTTCTGAAGTAGCCTAATTTGATATCCTTTTACCACATCTGTAAGTAGGGCCATGACAACATTTTTAGAATGATTATTGTTGTCTTACTAGAAAAATGCTTCCTTTAGGGAGACTCACTGACCTATTGAAAAATGGTAAAAATATTTTGGAACCGTAAAATTATCAGAATGCTGAAGGAAATATTTGTTTTGGGCTCAACAGTGGCGATATGTTTGCTTTCTTGGAGAACACTGCTGCCAAAATAAGCATTTTCACTAGCTGGCAGATGGTTTAGTTATCAGGCTGTTTTTTTGTTTACTTATAATTTCTTCTTTTTTCTGCCTTGATATTTAGTTCATTTTAGAAATATTTACTAATATCATTTATCCTTGTGTGTTTCACCTTCTCCAAATTAAAAATATCAGTATATTTTTACTGCAAGTTTTTCAATGGAGCAGCAGCTGAGAATGGCCAATTTCATTCTTTCAAAATGTTCTCATTGGTTTACGTTAGAACACAACTGTAGATCAATTTAAATAAAAACTTGAGTAATACTGGCTAAAGACAGGCACTTAACTATCAGATAATAAATTCCTGTACTTTATACTAAAATGAAATTGAGAAAAAAATGAAAAGAGTATGGGTATGCTTATTTCTAATTATGAAGATTTTCCCATTGTCATAGACTTATACCTCAACTTATGGCAAAATTTTTTGAATTCTTGATTATGTACATTTTAACTAACTTGGCCTAGTTTTTGTGTTATAAAAATGTTTTGAATTTCTGTTTTCTTACATGTACAGGTTTGTAGTAACAAAATGTGCTGTCCTTTTCAATATTTTATGTTAAAATATCTTATAAATGTTTGGTTATTTTTGTAATGTTAAAGGATATACTTGATTCCAACTTTTAAACCAGAATTCTGTTATTTCTATGAGTGGTTTCAAACTGTTTTAACTAAAACAGTAATATTCTATTAGGTGGTAATAATAGAGTTCTTTCTTTCCTGGAAAGTTTGTTGAATATATATGTAAGAAAAATTCTAAGTACATTTAGTTGACCCCTATCAGTATGTAGTACTCAAAGAAATGATATGGCATACGGGATAATTCTAGGAGTTCATATTCGTGATCATAGTCTTTGTTTTGTGAAAAGATGTATAGATGCATTTACCAGCTGGCTGTACTCCATATGTTGTCTGTTTTATTCTATATTTTAATAAATATTTGTGACATTCAGTGTTGCCTTTCACACTTATGAATCTGATTGTAGTAATTTATCACAGTTGAGGAACCACTTTGTTGGTGTCTAGTTTCATCCAACTGAATTTCTTAAATTCCTTGTATTTGATCAATGTATCATTTAAGAAGTATGGATAATTTGGAAAACCCACTTTTATGGTTTGCATCTTGAATACCTTCCAAAAGCCTATATATTTAAGGGTTTGGTTGTCAGCCATTGGCACTACAGGAAGGTGTTAGAATCTTTGGGAGGGAAGTCCAAGTTGAAGGAAGTTAGGTCATTTGGGGTGCGCCTTTGAAGGGCAGATTGGGACCCCAACCCCTTCTTCTCTTTCATTTCCCTGACATCATGAGGTAAGCAGACCTTCTCTGTCACATGCTCATGCCATGATGCGCTCCCCGGGCTGGCACAGGCCCAGAGCAACAAAACCAAGTATAGACTGAAATCTTTGAAACTGTGAGCCAAAATAAGCTTTTGCTCCTTATAAATTGTTACTTCAAATATTTTATGCTGTCAGTGGAAGACTAATACATGGGTGAAATAATTTATAGAATAATCATTTCCAGTATATTAAAAATGTTTTTCAAAAATGTTAGCTGAGTACATTTTTTTTCTTTTAGTAAATCCCACATATTTAGCATATCTTACTATATTGAATATTTTGAAACCAAACACCACAGTACAACAGAAGTGATATCAGTGATGGTCTCTTAAGTTGACTGTGATTTCACCAAGTTTTGTTTTATGTGTAAACTTCATGGTGCAAGCTGTTCAAAATGTGTGAAAAAAAATGTCAGGTCCTTAAATCAGTGTCCTAGAGATCAAATGTTACATTGATAACTGTTTTTTCAAATTGGTTTGAGTACCACTTAGTAATGTTAGGTGAGGGCAAAGGATGCCCTTGCCTAACTTCTGTAATTTTAGTTTTACAAAATAGACTTTTAATAAGTGAAGACCAGAAAATTCATTACAGTATTTTCTTTAAAAATGAGAGACTCTTCTTTGTGTTTGTAGTAAGGTTTTCAAACTTTGAAGTTTTAGGGCTATCATTGATTAAATGCAAGTTAGTTGTACTTGTTTTTTGGGTCAAAGAAGCAAATTGAGAAATTTTATTTAAATGATTAGAGTGGTTTAATAAAGGGAAGTATTGTTAAAATGCTGCATTAAAACACCATGGAAATCCTCTCTCAAGTTTCTTTATCCACAGAATAAATAGGTATTGTAAAATTAATTTCTGTGGGTACTTAGTATGTACTAAGCCTTGTGTTATGTTTTTCTCAAATTTCTGAAATTTGAGGGGCTGGGGAGATGGCTCAGTAGAATAAGTGCTTCCCTGGCAAGCACAAAGACCCGAGTTCAATCCCCGCTTCCAGAAAAAAGAAAAAAAGAAATTTGATTTGTCCTTCTGGAAGTTGATGTTGTCATGTAATTTTGTATTTGGAATATAAATAGTTTGGGTAAAAGATGTTCAAGTAAATTCCTACAAACAAATCAAGTGTGGCTGTGCAGTGGGTGTTTTTTAGGCTTAAATATCTCAGCTGGATTTAATTACCTTAAGGGATAAGGCTACATCATGGGCCAGTGGCTTTACCAAATTATTTTTCATTTTCTGGATCTTGATGTCACCGAAGGTTAATGCATCCTCTTTTCTTTGCTAGACACCCAAGTTAAAATCCATTTTTAGGGCATATGTATAAATGAATTTGTTGTTCTTTTCACTCCTTGGGGACAGTTTGGTCATTTTGTGAGTCTGCCTTTACATCTGGAATTGTTGGCAGCTTGCACAGAGCCAGAGGCTCTGGTAGCAGGGGCAGTTTCGAGTCAGTATGAAAATGAGCTGGCAGGCTTCAGAGGGCATAGCTGGCCCAGGGCTTGTCACACTTCCATCTCTTGCTTCTTTCTTGCTTAATGTAAGGAAGTATATTTGCTACTGACATTTGATTATAGCATATCACAAAACAAGTGATGTGTTTGTGAGTCAGCCAGTGCTTTCTTTTTTGTTGTTTTAACTGTTTCATGCCGTTTGTATTTAGCAGCTTCCACGCTTTCTGTATTCAATGTTCACAAACATCTAAATGAGTCCTTAGAGTGTTATAAGGATTGTAATCAATGTTTTTGATCATCAGTGTGTTTCAAGGCTTGTACTGTTTATTGTTTTTGTGTAAGTGCTTCATTTTTAGGGTCTTTCTATTCAGAATTACTTTAATGGTTTTACCCAGAAGTAGATAGTGTTATTAATTATTGCCTTCATCTGTACATCTTGAGAATATATACATGTGTAACCTGAGTAGGGAATAGTCCCAGGCCTTAGTCCTTCAAGTGTTTGGGCTGTTGTTTGCTAAATTTACTTTATAATAATTTCTTTCCTATTTTTGTTTTTTCTTTTACATTCTTTGTGTTTGCCACTTTATCTTTTTTTTTTTCCTCCCAAAGAATAGTACTCAAAGTATTTGCTTTATGTTTTTGTTTGAAATGTTAGAAAACATTTTTATTCATTGACAAACACAAATACAGTTTTATTTACATGAATTGAAAGGACCATACCATAAATGCTTTTTTCTTCTTTTAGAGAGTTTCAAAGTCAGTTGCTTTAGGTTCCTAGCATTCTTTGCTTTTCCTATTTCTTAAGAGAATTCCTACCCCATTTTGATTCGTCATTATTCTTTGGATTTTTTTTTGTGTGTGTGTGTGTGTGTGTGTGTGTGTGGCATTCGGAATTGAACTCAGGACTTGTTATTTGCCAGGCAGGAAGGAGCTGCACCACTGAGCCTTGACTCATTCATCATTCTTATTCTTAAATTTTTCCAAACTACTTTATACCAATTATATGTTCCTTTATATACTTTGCCTTTGCCTTGTATTCACAATTCAAGTCCTGTTTCTTCTTTCATAGTAGATCAGCCTAAGAAGTGGGATAATTGCTGTTTTGTACTTGTAGCATTCATGTAAAAGATGTACTTCCCTTTGTGTGTATGTGCCATTTGACAAGTAGTATGTATAAAAATAAATAGTATATGCAACTTTGTTGTGGTACTTTACATTTTCATGTTTATCTTTGTCAATCATTTTTTTACATTTATCTTTTTTAGATAAACTTTTTAAATGCAAGACTAGGTTTGTCTATGTGACATTATGCAAAACCTGATGTTTGCTGATAGGTTCTCGTAAACATTCTTTTGAGTGAACCTTAAATGTCTTCTTTCTTATGTATAATATTGCTAGATTATTTAGCTATACTTAATAGACATGTTTGCCTTTTTAGGTATCAGCAGTGGAATCTCTGGAGGGTCCCTTGCTCCAGGTGGAAGGATTGAGTGACCTCAGGCTAGAGCTTCACAGCAAGAAGATGAACCTACACCTGGTTCTCATAGATGAACTGCACCGGCACTTGTACATCAGATCCACTAGTCGAGTTGTGCAGAATAACAAGGAAAAAGGCAGAATGAGGTTGGTTAAAAGGTCTTTTTGCTACAGTTTCTTGGGGCTATTATTGAAAGAATCATTCTGTTTTTTTCTAGAATATTTTAGTATATCTTACTTTTTCTTTAATGTACTATGTTTGAAACTTGAACACGGACTTATAATAGCAGATGCTTCATGTTTTGAGAGACTGACATCAAAGTTTTTCTGTTAATTCATTGTACATTTACTGTAGTACTCTTCAGTAAGGATATGTAAGAAAAATTTTCTTGTGGACCTCTTATGTACAGCATATGAGACACACTTGCATGTCTTAGAGGGAAATGAAAAAACACCTGTGAATTGGACAGTGAAGTCAGTGAAGCCGAATTAAAAAATAGATATATGATCTAAAGTTTTAGTGTCTTTGTTACTTAGGGATATGTTCAGCTTTAGGTAGTTTTCCTACTGGAATAGTTGAGGGGAGGTTCAAAGAAAACACTTTTATCCTGTGGCTGATTGTAGTGTAGAACTTACAGTCTGGATGGGCTCAAGAAATTCATTCAGTTAGTATAGACCCAGTAGAAAGTACAACTAGATTTTAAACTAGTAGAATGTTGGGGCTGTGAACTATCTCAGATAGTTGTGCATAAGAGGTATCCTACAACATTTCTTTAAATAGCCATGCAGTCTTTTCTGAAGGGATTTTTAGCACTGTCCTCTGAAATACATGTTTATGCATCCAGCATTATACGAAAAGAACATTAAAAGTAGAACATATTGGTAATGGTGTCTTTCAAGTGCTATGCTGTTTGAACAAAAATTCAACTTTGTGCGTGATTCTTCAGGGTACCTTTAAGACTAGATCTGAATAGGGAAACTGTTGGTTATCCCGTTAGTGGAAAGTAAAGAGAGAGAGACAGAGAGAGAGAGAGAGAGAGAGAGAGAGAGAGAGAGAGAGAGAGAGAGAGAGAGAGAGAGAGTATTGTTAAAGAATTTTTTTTGTAGTGTCTGACCTTAAACAGGAAGTCTGAATAGCTTTCTTCCCATGTAAGGATAAATAATAAAATCATTCTCAGTCATGTGTAAATTCCCATATCATAGGAGAAAATGAATATTACTTTGAGGTTGCAGAGGAAGAAAATTTACTTGAAGAAAGGGTTTTGTAAAGTACACAAGAGAAATCCAGGAGATTTAAACTTGAGGTTTTTAAATTTTTTTTTTTTTATTTTAGGGAAGGATCTATAGGGTGTTCAGGATCTCACTACTAGATCGAACTCATAGTGATCCACCTGTTTACAGCCCCCCAAGAGATGGGATTACAGGCATGCTCCACCATGTCCAGTCTCAATCACTGTCTCAGTGTGCCCCGGGGTCGGGGCCGGCATTGCAGGCCTGGGCCCCCGGACCCCAGTGCCTACTTGCAGGCACTTTTTAAACTTGAGGTTTCTCAAAAGATGCGAGAAGCATGATATAGTAGATTTGATGATTGTTCATAGCTACTCCTTTATTTGCTGCCCTTTTTTGTGTTTGCTTTTGTGATTCATTAGAACATGTGTCTAAGCAGACTCTTGAAATGTGCTTATACTGGTTGGTATTTGTCCCAGGAAGAAGACAGATGCACTAGGAACCAACAGATCTACCCCATGTTGGATCAGTTACTCTCTAAAACAGAAAATAAGTTCTTATTCTTGAACATCAATGAGCTAGTGTTACTGTGTGCAGCAAGCTATAGCTTTTATGAAACAGTAATGGACAGCAAGCAGAGTGCAATAGGGAGAGATACTAAGAGAACTGAAACATGAGCATAGTGTAAGAAAAACAAAAGGTGAAATGACGAAATTTAAATATTTAAAGCATACAAGAGAAGAATTGAGTCAGTGCTGGGTAGGGAGAGTTTTTCCTTCTCATGAAGAAGAAAAAAAAGATGATGCAAGAAAGATAATAAATATGAAAGATGAAAAGGAGTAACCAATTCAGTGATTATAGATATTTCAGAGGGTCACAGTGAAATGGCAATGTTATGGGCTGAATTATGTTTTTATTAATGTAGATATTTATATTTAAAGGGTACATAATTTTTAAAAATTACTAGCGAAGGACCCAGTCCTAGCCCAGGTCTGGAGAGTTTGTGGAGAGCTTCCTGCTACCCTGCGCCTGCGGGACCAGTCCCAGCCCAGGCACAGCGTGGGACAGATGGTCTCCCACCCCCTTGGGATGCCCCCCACCACTCCGCAGCACCTCCCCCACCCCGCCCACTGAGTAGGAATTTCTGCCTCGTTCCGGGAACCCCCAGACCCAGTCCTAGCCCAGGTCCCGTGAGTGTGTGGGAGAGCTTCCTGCTACCCTGCGCCGGCCAGACCAAATACTGGTCCCAGCCCAGGCATGGTGTGGGCGAGACCCTTTCCACCCCACTTAGGATGCCCCCCACCACTGTGCAGCACCTCCCCCACCCCGCCTGCTGAGTAGGAATTTCTGCCACGTCCGGGAACCCCCAGGCCCAGTCCTAGCCCAGGCTCAGTGAGTGTGAGGGAGAGCTTCCTCTCCCCCCTACTCCACCTTGCCCCCTCCAGGCACAGCTCAGGCTTGGCATACATGCCTGGCGTGTAACCTGCAGCTGCAATCCCTGCAGAGAGTGTAGAGGATAGATCCACCCAGCTAGTCTAGGAGCAGAACATCTTGCCACAGGGGCACAACAGGTTCACCCTCAAGGGCAGCAGCAGGAA